AACATAAAGCACTTAATTATTTTCAAAAATCTGTAGAAATTGGTTATTCTGGTGGATTTGTTGGACTTGGATACTTTTATCAATATGGAATTGGAAAGGATGAACAAAAGGCATTTATTTATTATCAAAAGTCTGCAGAGATGGGAAACGCTTGCGGGGCAAAATTAGTTGGAGATTGTTATCAATACGGAATTGGAGTCGAGAAGAATGAACATAAAGCATTTATTTATTATCAAAAATCTGCAGAAACGGGAGATGCTAGAGGAATGTCAAAAGTCGCTGAATGTTATCGAAATGGAATTGGAATAACAAGAGATTTAAATAAAGCAAAATATTGGTATCAAAGGTAAATTTTAATTTGAGTCTAAACTTATTTGAGTATATTTTGTTATAAGATCAGGTGTAAACTCAAATTGTGTCAGTGTTATGATTAAATATGATCAAAAATGAAATAGGGCGATAAACTACAAATTTTTTAGGACGTAACATATAACTTCATAAAAAAAGTTTCGAGTTATAGCTATTTTAAAAAAAAGCATTACACCTGATTCTAGTATTCGATTAGTAGTACTATGCCGCAACGCATTAAACTGCAATATTTCATTACAATTCGGTGGATTTGAGGATTTGACCTTTATTAAAATTCCCTACCTGTGTCTATTTTTATAATAAATTTATGATTTTGCACATAAAATCGAATTATTAAAATTTTCCAATTTTAGAACATTTGAAATTTTGGATTAAAGTCAAAATCCACAAATCTGCCGAATTAATATACCGAATATGTTTATAAATTTAATAAATTCAAATATTCTTTGTATTACTGATTAGGGAAAAAAAAGATTTATTAGCGGGTATTATCATAATTAACTTTATATAAATTTTATTATTATTAATTTATTTATCTGAAGTGACAATTTTGTAATTACATTAGCTGCAAGTGAATGGACACGTAACTCTGAGATTTCTGAAATTGAAGATGAGTTGAAAGAAATATTGACTGATAATAAGGATCATTTATCATGGATTTCTTATGATGAATTGGATGATATTAAGGAGATAGGAAAAGGTGGGTTCGCAACTGTATATTACGCTAGATTGCATGACAAACCTCCATATTTAGATAGGAATGTTGCACTTAAATTACTTCATGAATCGAGCAATTATCATGGAACTTTTATAAGAGAGGTAAACATTATTAAAAATTTTACTATTCGTAATTATTTATATTAATAATATAAATGTGTATTTCTTTTAATAATAAGTTAAAAGCATATTGTGACATCGGTCTTAAAGATCCAACATTTTTAAAATGCTTTGGTATATCAAAAGATAAAGCGTCTAAAAATTATATCCTAATCATTGATTATGCTTCAGAAGGTTGTTTACGCAGTAACCTACACACCATAGCGCAAATGAATTGGATTGATAAATTAAATCTGCTACAATGTATTGCATATGATCTTCAAATAATTCATTCTCATGATTTGATTCATCGGGATTTACATAGCGGAAATATACTACAAGATAATTTGAAGAGTGCTTATATTGCAGATTTAGGACTTTCGATTACAGCTAATATTGCTTTAAAATCAAAAACCGATGGAATTTATGGAATTTTACCTTACATTGCGCCTGAAGTTTTTAAAAATCAAATATATACTAAAGAATCGGATATTTATTCATTTGGAATAATCATGTGGGAAATTTTATATGGTAGACCTGTTCCTTTTGAGCAACAATCTGAATTACAATTTCAATTAGAAGTATGCAAGGGTTTACGACCACATATTTACGAAAATTCAGCAATATGTTATGCGGATTTAATGAGGAAATGCTGGAACTCGGAACCAGAAAAACGACCAACAGCAAAAGAAATTTATGATATTTTTACAGAATGGAAAAATAATGAAAGAATTTTGTCTGAATTATCTGAATCTGATGAAAAACTGCAAAATATAAAAAATGATAATACGCAAATATATATAGATTCACATTATAGAAGCAGCTTTATATCATTTAATAGCAGTTATAAATGTCATGGTAATTAGAGTTTATATAATAAATTATATTATTCTATATAATAGCATTTTTAATATCTTTTTTTATAGGTAGTGAATTATACGAAATGAAAATACCGGATATTATTGATTAATAGATGCAACCTTCCCGATTTTGGAACAGAAATATTGCTAATAAGAATATGTGTAGAATATTATAGATAATCGTGTATTTCTATTTATAACATCTTCACTTGATAGGTTAAAGTTTAATTTCTCTATTTATATCGATATCAATTTTTTATATCTTGTCAAGCATTAATAAATTTTGAATTCGCGATTTTTTAAATAGGCTTAATATTATGGCATTTGGAATTTATTATAGTTCATATTAATTAATAAAGGTATAAAGTATAAATTTAATTATACCAAGATAATAAAGTGATAGCATGATTTCAAAATATAATATTGCGTTATACTGTATCCTCTTCGTTTGCAAAAACGGACTAACCTCAATTTAATGTTGTTTTTATGATATTAATAGAGACTGTTAAGGTTATGTGTGGTTTAATCTAGACTAAGCTTGTCTCTGAAGATTTTTTTTACCAGATCAGGATGTTTCGGTTTCGAATTGATCTGCTTGTGAACGGAGTCACAAGGAGACGCGGTGTTATAACCAGGGTGGGTTTTTAATTCCGTAACGTTAATTTAGCTTAGGGTTACAAAAATAAACCGAATTTAGGACGTGAAATAAGGTAGATTAGTTGAATATTATGAGTGTAAGAATAGTTTTGTATGTGTTGTGAGGTTTAATGTTGTCAATTAGCCAAAATTTAGGGTATACGGTAAATCTGGAATTATTGAAGCCGAAATTCCAGCTGTAAGTAGGGCGTTATGGGTTAGCGACACACTTAATTAAGGTTATAACGAGATTAGGGTTACTGTAGGGTTTATTTTAGGATGTATGGAGTGCGTTCGGTGATTTGATTTAGTCGGAGCAAAGAGTTATTGTCCTTCATTAGCATAAGCGTCACATTTATACATTTTTGAATTATGACTGCTTGAAACCAAAGTTCTGAGCTTTGGACCCATGTCGTGTGTCTCAGACCAGAATCTATGTTCCCAACCATTGTTCCGTGCCCCGTATTAAGATTCACGGTCCGATACTACTATACATCCCGACTCTATACACAAAAAGGAAACATGGGCAAACTACCCTAATAGGGTTCGAGGCACAGAGGCATGGGCATGCCTTTTGGGCATGCCTTGGGGGCATGCCTATGGGCATGCCACTTAGTCATTAGGCATGCCCTAGTCATGTGATATATGTGTCATATCTGATTGGCCAGCATATCATAGTTGAGGTCATTTTAATTAGCATAAACCTGACAACAAAATTTCAATTTAAGAAGTTCTGAAAAAAATTTTTATAGTAATCATGATAGAAGTCATGAAAATTCCAATGCAAACTTAACTACATATTGTGGTCACCAAAATGCAAGTCACAATAGAGTCCTATAACAAAATTTTTCAGTAATAACAATAGAAATCAATATGCAGTACTGTAGTTACTAGAATATGTAGCAAGAATTTTTTACAGTAACTCGTAATAGAAAATCATGATAATTTTAATGCAAACTGACTAACTTTAATCAACTACATACTTGTATCGCTGGAAAAATATTTTACACTAATTCACAATAAATTACTATAATTTTAGCAACAGAATTTTTTTACATTAAACATTCACGAAGTACTAGTTTTCTATATAAAAAGGGCATGCCTATAGACACAAAAGGCATGCCGCAACTCAGGGCATGCCTCCAAAGGCATGCCTGATTTTTTACCCATGCCTCGAACCCTACCTGGCACGTGTGTCCTAACTGTAAAGTAATCTAAATCTAAGAATTGAAATAATTTACAGTATTGGTTGACATTTTTTAGATAACGAGGATTCTTGTCAAGTCCACCATCTACAATAATAACCCACAGGGGTTTGATCTCATTGTTATGCTTAAAAATTGTAGAGAAATTTTCATTATTAACTAAAGATACGATGTCTGTTATATGTGAAGCAGATGTTGAACTAAGATGCCATTGAGCTCTAATAAAGATTGACAATTGGCTATGTTGTAAAGATTCATTTAATTCTTTGGGATTTATTATCAAATACACAGATGGTATTAACTTTTAGGACACACCAATAGAAAAATCATGATCAGAAACAGATACTGGTTCATTAATAGATTGTATAGCCCGAAAATGTCTTCTCACCGCTAGAATACTGACTAGCACTTTTGCTTTATCATCTTGCGAGAGAACCACAGCAAAGTTATAGCAAACTGTCTTGCATTTTTTACAGATACAAGACAGTAATGCTCATCTATATAGCTTCTCCTATTATCTCTTGAAATGCTAGCAATTTCAACACAAGCAGAATGGTGGTGGGTTCTAGCTGCTAAGCTACGATTTGAACAGGGTAAAATGTATTTCTCATACTGGTGTGGGACATATATATTATAGTTTTCTTCTAAGGCACTTCGGAGATGCTCTACAGTTCTAACTTTAATAATTTCATGTCTTCTTCTCATGTCTGCTTCTTCAAATTCTATACAGCTATAAATTTGATCATGAAGGTTAGGATGCTAAAAAAGAAGAGATGAGCGACTAGCAGAGTTATATCTTACAACAATGCCATCATCATTAAGTGCTTTTAATTTTTTTAATTGAGATTTTTGTTGACTAGATACATGTCTTTTAAGTTTTTTAAGCCATTTTTCTTCTTTAGTAATATGTTTTTTAATTTTAGTTATCTAAGAGCTAAGGCTATTATGCGCTGAGGATTAGTCATTATTGTGACTATTTGCTCTAATTCTGACAATTCTGTTTCTAAGTTTTTGATTGTTTCAAAACTTTTTTTTGTGCTATTACGTTATTACAAATTGGTTCTATAGATTCTGTTATAGTAAAGACTTGTAGCTGTTGTAGATTGCTAAGAGATTAAGAAAAAGATTGAGGAGGCTGTTTATGAGATGTAGAAGCTGTAACACAACCATGCAATTGTACTGAAGTATTTAAATATTCTCTTATTTTTGCTTGAATATTCTTTTTTTTTTTTTTTTTTATAGAACACCACTCTATTGCTGCCTCTTTACATATTTCATTTTTGTTTATATCTGATATCCCGATCAATGCCATTTTATAAAATACATAAGCATTTACAAAATTTTGGTATACATTGTCTAGATTTGAATAAATATTTTTTTTATCAAACTTTGGTGCAGATAAAAAGGTTTGTATTTGAATTTTATACTACTTACAAATGATTTGGGGCTTTTATATATGTATTAATCATATTTAAAATAAATATTGGTTATTATTAGAGTTCCAATAATTATTAGATATCTGGATTTGAGTCTATTAGGATATCTATTTACTATCTATTTACTATTGATATCAAATAATTATTCAAATATCTTTCAGATTATCTGGATATCAATAGTAAACAGATATCCGAATAAATCATTATAGATAAACGGATAATGGATTTGGGGTCTTTGCTTTGAAAATAGAGTTACAGAACATAGTAAATCATATGTTCCATACTTGATTTTCAAGGCAAAGACCCCATTTATCCGAATTGGAACTCTAGTTATTGCAATAAAAGAAAATCTGTGCAATATTTATGCAGTTAGTATTTATATTATAATATGATGATGCAAATACTAACTGCATATTATGCATAAATTATTTATTATAATGCATTGATAAGAGATATAAAATAGAAAACAAGAATTTTCAAGACTACCTAGTTACTATATTATGAGTATATTCTAATTCTGATCAATTTAATACACTGTAAGATAAGTATGAAAATGATATTTAAAGATTATTTTATTTGATACAATATTTTTAACAATACTATTATTATTATATAGCTTTTAGAATTCAAAATCGATAAACAAATATATACAAAGTATACTTTAGTGCTGTTTTAAGCTTTGTGATGAATTATTGCAGCTATAAAGTATTTGATCTGCAATTTTATTATATACATGAAGCAAAAATTCATATTGGTAAAATTATATTGCTTTTATATAAATACTATTTTACTAATAGAAATTTTTGTTTTTTGAGTTTTTTTGTTATAATGAGTTGCTAATTTTTATTTATTTATTTATTTTTTTGAAGATAAATTGGATTTTAGGGATTTTATTTATATTAAGATATATACTTAGTTTATTAACTAATAAGTTCTTTTGCAATAATATTAGAAAACTTGTTTAGTTATTATTCTATACCAGGTGACTAAAAAATATTCAATTACATATAATTTTAAATTCGTAGTGATAGTGAATTATTAAATTATCACTGCAATAATACTATATCTGATTTCTAAAATATATAGTATACCTAATATATGAATGTACTGCATATATACATATATGCTTATATATGCTTACTTATTATATATTAATACTTCAGATTCTCAAATTAATAATTTGAGCCTAATTTTAATGCAATATTAGCTATTATCAAAAGTCTAAATCCACAACATATATATTCTTGTATAATTTTTTACCGTAAACTCTGATGAATAAAAGAATAGATCATCAGAAAAGATAATTAAAATGAATACATGAGTATAAAAATAAGTACAGTATAGTATAACAAGCTTTGCATTTTGATATTTTATCCTGTTTTAAGCCAAATAAATCATATTTTCTTTATATACAAAGTCTAGATATTCTTTGTAAATTTAAATATATATTACTTATTATTCTAAACTAGTTTAAACTACTTGATTGAGACATTTTTGAACTGATATATATAGTAATACTAATTGAGAGATTTCTAGCTAAATTTGGATAAATTTTTAGAATTCTTGGATGAATATTTTTTAAATTTGTATATAATATATTATATGATATTTATCTAATTATGTATAAGTTTGGGGTTGGCGACATGATTGTTGAATTTAGTAAAAACTCTTAAGAATCTACTAAATTTTAAACTACCGGGTTTGGTTTATATTAGTAACCGAAATTGTTATTTTTAAAGTTTAAATTATACAATATATGTATATATTATACAGTATATATATATATATATAAAAATTATCTTGAAACAAAGAATCAATTTTCAAGAATATAGATGTATTAAAAAAGTTCTGCACTTACTAAACTTGAAATTCTTGATTATATCTAACCTTTTTAACATTAGCTCTTATTTATATAATATGTTACAATTATAAATTTTATTTTATATTCAGAATCTTTTTATGTTTCTTGTTATGATTTATTGGTTGCAATTATTGTATGTGACAACCTGTGCTTTTTTCATTTATATATTTAAATCCTGTGCCTTTGGCATGGAATATGAATCTGTGTGTAACTATAAATTATATATGTGTAATCTGATTTTTGGTTAGACCCCCACCCCTAAAAAATCAGGTGATAAATGACATCTTTAGCTAAAAAAAAATGTTATTATATAAATAATAAACTTTTGTGTAATGATTAGCAAATTTGTGTAAAATTGATTGTTAGAATGAAAAATATAAAAGAAAAATTAATGTTTCCGTAATATAAAATTAATTTGGATAAATTTGGAAGTGATTAGATATTACACAAAAATCATGTATAGTGGAAAGTACAAAGAAAGCTGTAAAGAGTGAGTAAAAGAGAGTTAAAATGGTTTAAAGAGTAACTTTGTCAATTTTGATGCTACATAGATGAAATATAGCTTGTTATGACAAGAAAAGTGTGTAGAGCAACTTTTACTAAATGTATTGCAGAGGTTTAGAATCAGTTTAAAGAGCAAACAGCAAAAGTTTGAATTTTTTGCCTAAAAATATTTTAGGATTTTACTTTATAAATATAAAAGCTAGAGACTTGAAATTTGAGTATTATGTATATTTTGATAAACCAAACAACTTTTATAATTATATATAATTAGATTAATATAGTAAAATTTTGTGTAAATAGACGTTTTTTGTTGAACAAATTTTAAGTAAATTTTGTGTTAGGGATTTGCAGAAAGAGTTTTTATATTCAATTTTAAAAAAGATTTAAAACAAATAAATATAAATTATATATAAAATAAAAGCTTAGACTAAAAGCTTAAACTAAAAGCTCAAACTAATTATCTGCAATCTAAACCTACCAGAGTGGTCAAAATTTATCTAGGTTTGAATTGTTAGAATTTAGTTAATAGGTGTATTATATTTGATTTATATAGTAGACTATATATTAATTTTAAAACTAGCTTGTCTTAGAGGAGGACAAGTATTAGTTTTGAAATATAGTTAGTTAGCAGAGCTACAAGGACAACTATAAATATAGTTAGTTTTGTTTCTTTTATTGGTTAAGTATAGAGAAGGTTGTAGTAGAATATTATAATTAGAATAGGAAGAGATTTGGCAAGATTTTTTCTAGCTAGAAAAGTTGGTACAGTATAGAATTCAGATATTGTTATAAAGTTAATTAAAAATTTTGAAAAGTAGCTGAATAATAAGTTAAGAAGTATTGGAGTATGAGATTTCAAATAGATCTAGAGATTAAATTAAGAAAATAAGTATAAGGTATTTAAGTGTAGAATTGAGAGAAAAAAAGTATAGTTGAGATGGTTAGAGATTGAAAGCAGAATATAAAGAAATAGTATATATAAGATTGTTTAGTTGATGAAAAGAAAGATTGAGGTTAGCATTGGTAAAAGTATCATGTATTAAGGTGTTAATAATTTGAATTAAAGAAGTGTAGTGTAGTTGGAACAAGTATACCAAAGAGAAAAAGAGTCTAAATTATTGCAACAGAAGCAGTTAGAGAAGTGTTATTTATCACCTAATTTTTTTTGGAAAGAGATCCCTACCAAAATATCATGTACATATATATGCATACTTTCGGAATTTTAATTCATTTATTATGTAGAGGGGGATAATATTTACTATTTAAAAAAATCAGATGATAAATAACACTTCTCTTAGGAGATATAAAAATATAAGAATAGATATTATGAAAATATGCATATATAGATAATATATTAAGTAATATTTTAATTTTGAAAGATTTAAGTAGTTTAATTTGGGATTAGTAAAGTTATAAGAAGTTTTTTGATTATTGTTGAAGTATAGCCAAGAGGTATTCTAGTCAATTTGGTGAGAAAAGTTTGACTATTCTTAAGCATAGTTTTGTGAAGATTATAAAGCTATATTGTATACATTGTATAATTTTTTAATAAATTGTTTCAAGAAGCTGTCAATAAAATTGTCTTATCAAGATAAAATACAATAGAGATTATAGGAATTAATATAGTTGAAAGATAATATTGGAAAAGTAAAATGATTATTTGCAAGTAAATTTGCAAGATTATTAAAGATGTCATCGAAGTAAGCTTGAACTTTGTAAAAGAATAGTTGAATATTAAAGGCTTTTAGAATATTAAGAGGTGTATACCAGATAGACCAAGAGTTAAATTTAAGGTATTTGATAGAATAAGAAGATATGATAAGAAGTTTATTATATTTAGATATAATTAACTATAAATTAGTATAGATTTGTAAACTGGAGTTATGTGGAATTGTAGAGATAACAGATAATATTGCTAATAGTTCAGCTTTATAAAAAGAGAACCAATTAGAAATTTGAGCTAAGAAATTCTGTATAGCTAGATTGTTGTGAATTTGGACCTAGTCAATACCCATAGAGCATTGGTTAATATCGAATTGTTTGACAGATTTATCTGTATAAAAAGTAAATTGAGGTTGAGATAAGTTGACTAATATAATTTGGATAAGTTTAAAAGAGGCTTCATTGTTATAAGAAATACTAAATATAGAAAAGTCCATAATATTAATTGAAGTGGTGGTGGTATTTCTAAAGAGTGTTTAATATTAGTAAAATAGATAAAGTCAATATAGTTTGCATTGAGATTAAGTTGTTTGTTGGCTTTTTTTCTTCTCAAAAACTAGGTAGAAAGAATGGCAAATACTTCTAAAGTACAATAGCTAGAAATATGATTAGAGTTGAGATTGTAGCTTTGATAAGGTATGCAAGAAATTTTTTTTTTTTTTTTTAAATTCAGCAGTTTTGTTTTTACTTTATTAGGTTTAATAATATTATACTTTGAAATATTAAATTTTTCAGAGAGCTATTTTCCCTGCCACCTAATTTACAAGTAATAGCTCACCCAGTTATTCA